CTCGTCCATTTTCAAAAAGTCCCTTAAAACTCATCTGTTTAGGTCCGCCTATGACCTGTGATGCACCCTCCTTGCCCTACCTCATTTTCTGTTTCGGGTTGATCCTGAAGTGTCAAAGTGTCCTCGTTTTATAGTCATTTTCATTGTTTCTATAAAATAGTAGTTACTATCCTAGTGTCTCATTTGTATTTACTTAGTTTTACATGTTTTAATAAATGTAAAGCGCTTAGAGCTTTATGATAAGCGCTATATAAAAATGCCTAAATAAATAAATAAATAAATAAATGGTTATATTTCTATTGTTACTTTTGTTTTAATTTTGTTTTTATTTTTGGTTTATTCAATTCATCCCTTTGTAATATTCATTTTGATTTATCATTATCAATGTTGTCATAGGCAAAGGTGAATAATATTCAAAAATGCTAGGGAATGGTAATATTTCCCTTATCATTTTTTTAAATTTCTTTTTTAAATAAAAAATTGGGGAAACTTTGGCTTATTCAATTGATTCATTTCTTGAAATTCGTCCTTATCATGCTCATAAACATTGTTATTGACGAAATAGCACGCGTATGCACGTATCACGGGTTCTTTTAATAATTATGTAGTAGGCCTACTGCAGACCTGTTTACTTTTATGACTTTGGCGACTAATTTAAGATTTTGAGATGTCTTTTGCGATCCTCCGTCGAGACCCTTCAGAACAACAATAATAAGAGATCCTGTTACAAATATATCCCTCTCCCCACCCCCACAAGGGGGTGAGGGAATTTTGTCGACGAACAAAATAATTACGTCACTAGCAAGGAATGACTAGTGTGTTGGCACTAGGCTAAATGTTAATACGGCGATATCTTGCCAGCTTTTTTATGAATTTATCAAAAATATCAAGCATTATAATGACGATTACCGCGAAACTTTGTGTTGATATTTTTATAGCCTTAAAAACTGATATTTAGTTGACAATTGGCTCTATTAGAGCCAAAATATTTATTGTAAATATATGTCTAGGGAGCGTTGTAATTATATTACAAAATCAAAGGGCACTCAAGGTTCTATTTTGTATGAATTTTGTCCCCCCCTCCCCCCCCCCCCAACAGTCCAAATATGCTCTTAGCATTCTACTTTAACAATACATTTTTAAGAACTTTTATTACTTTTTAATTTAAATTGTAGCAGCCAAAGTGTTCATTATTTATTAATATTCACGAAGATCTCATATAAAAAAAAAAATATGTAAATATTGATAATTTCCCCTATACTTTTTTGATGTATGCAGAATGTATGCCTGAATGAATTTAAAAATATCTAAATCTTTCGGTTTCGACCCAAAGTAATTTTTAACTTTTGGCTTGGTTTCTGTTTCGGCCGAAATCAGAAAACCCCATTCGGTCGGTCTCAAGTTGGCAACACACCTTTTAGCCGAATATCATTTCACAATACAGTCAGTTCGTGTTACCAGTATACCGGGTACTAAACTGACCTTTTTAAGACAAAACATAAAGGGTAATAAAGTAATGTATCATAATACAACATAGCTCACGAAAGCTTACCATTTATTACTTTGGATACTCTTTTGAAAACCAAATAGAAAAGCTAAATTGCCTTCTTCGTATATCATTTAACAGATCCAAATCACTTATTTTTGTGTTTATTCGTCTTTTTCAGTAGTGAAACGTTCAAAGTTGATAAATCATTTGAAAGAAATGGATTCCTCCGCCAATCAAAGTCTCGTATTTAAGAACTTGGGAAGTGACCATTTCTTTGGGCAATGTCAAATGGTCCACAATTAGCGAACTATTGTCACATTTCAACCCGCAATGAGTTGATTTCGGAAAACTTTTTTCATTTTCCAAATCACTATCTCGTCTCTCAATCCTGTAGTATAGAATAAATATTGGACACACCACTGGTATTTTCTACAATTCCTTGTAAGAAAGTGTTTGCATTATTCGAATATTCAAATATGTCAGCAATATATGGAAATTTTCTGCACAAATTATGGAAATACATTCTCTGCACAAAATGTGGAAACTCCATGCACAAATGGAGATTCTTTTCACAATTTATGTAAGTTCTTTATAATAACTTTATTTGTGTTATATATTAAAATTCATCATATTTGATATTTTAATGTAAAAAGTAAGGGTCATTTTTCTAAATTCATGACAAGTACAAGACCTCATCAGAGCCAACGAATTTCTGTGTAGTGTCAGCTTTTGTTGTTGTTGTTTTTTTACCCCAATTCGTCACAAATATTATAAAAATAATCTTGATCGAAGAATTCTGCTTTTAATATGATTTAACTTTTTTTTTTTTTTTTTTTATTTTCCAGAGGGTTTTTTAAAGTACCAGTATTTAAAAAATGCGTGAATCTTGATATGGCATGACACACCTACATCTACAGGTGACACACTACTGTATCGCGATACACAGTTTGAAAAATACTGGTAACCCAACACTATTTGAAATACTCTAAATATTTTAATATTCGCGTTACATATTAAATATATATTTCAATTAATGTGCAATTTGTAAATACTGAAATAGCAATGTAACTGTTAAAATAATTTGAAAATAAAATATTTAATATGCCATATCCCATCACACTATTACCGGTATTCTTATAATTTTTTGAGCCCGTTGATCTTCAAAATAGTTCTACTGAAACTTAATTGTTCATGAAATATTTTTTTAAAGATGTATAGTGGCATATTTAAGGTTTTTTTTTTTTTAATCCTTCATATTAATTTCACTTTTGTGTGTTAAGGGAAAGTCTTCGGACGGCTAATTGGTCAATTTCCCGTCAACCTATCGTGCTGAAACTTGGCACATATACTTGTTGCCGATGACGACACATTCTAACGAATTATCAGTGCCGACCCCGAACCTCAACCTCCAAAAATTAGTTTTCCCTGTTTTTCAAGTGTAAGATGAAGAAAATATGCCAATGATTTTGCGCAAATAAAATTCCCGATAACTGCGCTAAATCAACTAAAGGGGGTTCTTTTTTTTTTCTTTTTTTTTTTTTTTTTAAATATTGCAGGTGCGTTTGGTGTGTAATATTAATATAGGCCTATTTGTTTTCTGACAGAGTTGGTAACAAATTCTGCGGTGTAAAAGTGTGTAGATTTTTCCTGTTTTTTAAGTGTAAGATTAAGAAAATATGCCAATTATTTTGTGCAAATAAAATTCCCGATAACTGCGCTAAATCAACTAAAGGGGGTTCTTTTTTTTTTCTTTTTTTTTTTTTTTTAAATATTGCAGGTGCGTTTGGTGTGTAATATTAATATAGGCCTATTTGTTTTCTGACAGAGTTGGTAACAAATTCTGCGGTGTAAAAGTGTGTAGAACATTAGAATATTAATATAAAAACAAATAATTAAAGAATACATGAAAAGGATTTTTTTAAACTTTATTGTTAGTGTTTGTTTAATGTATAAATACAATACTGCCATAGGTTATTTGTTCGTTTGTGGAAGGAAGTCAAAGTAAATGTTCGTCGTTTAGTTCTGTTTCTTTCAGGTTGTCCGCTACTCTCCAAGCTTTATTTAATATTGTTTGAACCAGAAGACAGGCCTTCCCATAGTACACTTGAATAATTAACAGATCGATTCCCCATAAAAGTTCCAATGGGTATGACAATGATGACAGGCATACTTTAAATGACAACTACATGGACGGCGCTTGCGACTTTTAACATTTAACAGTTGTCGATTTTGGGATGCGTGGAAGTAAACTCAAGAAGCTATGCTAGAGCGTTGATGTAATAGGTAGGAGACCACAGCACTATCAGCCACTAATAAAAAAAATGTAGGGCTTTTTGTAAGGCTAGATCTTTTCAAATGTGCTACGGCGTATTAATTTAGTCATGTTGAAACCAACGCTCGTATTTTAGCTATATTTAAAACGTCTACAGTTGTTGTCTGAAAACGTAATTGTAAAACTAACTGAGTTCAGAGATATTATAAATAAGGACACAAGAACTGAAACTAGGAATAAATAATCGAATTACGCGATAAATCATAGATAATTACTGGGATATTTGACCATTTGCCTTTGACATATTTAATTTTGGTGTGAAAAAAAAAGGTTGGTCAGTTTTGACACACATTCATTTTATTGCTTTTTTTTTTTTTTTAATGTTGACAAGGTTAATGGCAGTCTGTGTATAATAAGTATGGATGACTTCACACACTTTCAAGGTGGATCTAACTCACAAAGTCGGGGTTTTAGTTTTCAGTTAATTAACACAAAGAAAGCCACTCATCTTATGAACAGTCGATTAAATTTGCTTCATTTCTTCTAATGTAAATAGAGTAAGCTTTTGTTAAATCATCCATATAATAGTTTAAGTCTTGCTCTTCATTCATGACTTGCTTTTCTTCATTGGGCAGCATTAACTCGAGGTAAAAGTCATCTGGGTTTCCCCCTAGGCAAGCTTCGGCCATGAGGATGTCCTTGGTCTGAAATAAGTATTTGGTTTTAGTCTGAAATATTAGTGTTTTCTATAAGTATAAAATAAGTGTTTAGTTGTACCGGTACTTTGAAATAAGTGTTTAGCTTTAGTTTGAAATAATAGTGTTTTCGGTAAGTCTAAAATAATTGTTTAGTTTTAGCTTGAAATAAATGTTGTTGTTTTTTTTATTGTTTTGCTGTTGGGTTTGTTTGTTTGTTTTTTTTATTGTTTTGCTGTTGGGTTTGTTTGTTTGTTTTTTTTGTTTCTTTCTGTTGTTTTTTTTTTTTTTTTTTTTTTTTTTTTTTTTTTTTTTTTGTTTTTTTTTTTTTTAAGGTTTTTTTTTTTATTTGTTTGTTTTTTTTATTGTTTTGCTGTTGGGTTTGTTTGTTTGTTTTTTTTGTTTCTTTCTGTTGTTTTTTTTTTTTTTTTTTTTTTTTTTTTTTTTTTTGTGGGTTTTTTTTTATTTTAAAAACTTTTTTTTTGGGGGAAATTTATTTTAAAAATTTTTTTTTTTGTTTTTTTTTTTTTTTTTTTTTTTTTTTTTTTTTTTTTTTTTTTTTTTTTTTTTTTTTTTTTTTTTTTTTTTGTGTTTTGGGGCTTTTTTTAAATTAGAAGACCTTTTCCTTGCGGGAAATAGTAATTAAAAAATTTCTTTATTACGGTACAGTCATAAACTGAAAGGTTCATTCAGTGATTTTGGCGCGGATTAGTCAAGTAAATGCCATGGTCTTATGAAAAGTTATTTACAATAAAATAATAAGTTTAATTTACTTTTTTAACAGGACTGTCAAATTGCCATATTTGACAGATTTGATCAGTTCCATCAGGCAAAAAGACTTTACACTCAACGCCGACGATTTCAGCATCTGTCAAATGAGAAAGAAAAAAGCTGAGCATTCCCTAATTTCAGCTACTGGCCATGCCTTAAATTAAATTTTATTTAGAAGTTATTATTTTCTATTATTTAAAGCAATACATAACACTACAATGGAAAACAAAATATTTGAAAGATTCAAAGTAATAATGCTCCTTAAAAAATGGATTTCTATTTTTCTTTTTTTTTTTTTTTTTTTTTTTTTTTTTTTTTTTTTTTTTTTTTGTTGTTGAATTTACTTAAAAAATGTATAAAACTTAAACGATAAACTAGATACTTATTTTTTACATAAAGTAAATTGTAGACATTTAATATCGGCTTATAAAAATGTTTGGTTTCTCTTTTCCTGTAACCACTTTGCCTCGCACCCAGAGCCGTCACGTGAATTTTTTAGACCCCTTGCAACTTTTCATGGTTTTCTTCTATTTAGCTATTTTTCATTAATTTTTTCCACATCACAACTTTGGGCCCCTTAAATATGTGATTAGAACCCCTGCAGCCACGGGGCTTGCAGGAGCCAAGCTACGGCACTGCTCACACCCACTGAAACACCTGCAACTTACAACCCTGGAATGCAATAAATTATTTGGATTTCGTGATTCCACCTTAAAAAAAACAGGAAGAAATATGTTTTTGCAAAGCATTCAAAATTTCCCACTTACTTTTCGTATTGGAAACAATGGATGGTTCGATGGACGGGATTAAACTGTACTCAACACTGTCTTCATAAAACTTCATGAAATTACGCTTGTCAATATTTGTAACTTGTTTCGTCGATTCAGTACCATCGTATTCTTTCCATTCACCAACAGTTATGTGTTTGGCAAGACCGTGAGGATGTGACGCCACTATGATCCATGGAACAGAAGTATCCAACTTCCTGTTATGAATCAAAGATTTAAAATCATTTAATCTCTCGTGCATCCTCTTTGCCAAGTCATCATCTCCTGTCAGGCAATCAAAGACACACCAGTCTTCATCCACGTCTTTGCTAATGACACGGCACCCGTCTAGCGTATGAATGTCTTTTTTGTTGAATTCATCATCGTAAAATAAATCTATAGTTGTGTGTCCAGCTTCTTGGCAGTCAAATACCACATGGCAAGCGGTGATAATTCTTATTATACAGAAACCTGTCGTTTCATGCAAACTACCACACTGCACACATGTTTTGGCCTCTGTTTCATTTGTTTCTCTTATAACCTCAAAAACAGTGCCTGTCCCCATACGTACTCTGCCTGATTGACTGAATAACGTGTTATCGTGTGGTCTCTTATCGCTGACACTAGTTACAGTTATCCGACAAGTCAAATCACCCAAGAGTCTTATGCTTCTCAGAAAGTGATCAGTTCTGTACCCTTTTGGTAGATGTTCGAGGTTAAACTCTTTCACAGGTATGAACTCCTTGTGTCCTGGATTTTCCTGGCAACCTTTCCACTTAAATGTTCCCCAGGTTGTGTTCAGTGTGTGTTCTGGAATGATGAGATCAGAATCTGTGGAAATGTGAAACTCAAACTTAGAAAGTCAAAAATGCATTATCCATACAATGTGCACAATTACGACTACACCATAAGACAGTCTTGTGAATGAGGAGAGTTATTGTTCAGATGTTCGTTGCAAAATTCAAATCAAGTATGCATTTTACATTATATTCGAACATTTAAACTTATTTAAAGACAATGAACCTTCAAAACAACAAACAAAAAAAACAAAAAAAACATTCAGTGAAAGTCACCAGCGCCATTAAACAGATATAAGAAAGGAATCCTGTCGCCAAAATTTGGCTATGAAAATTTTATTGAAACTAAGTTATTAGTTGTGTCTATAAATATCTTTTATAAATACTTGATGGTTTGTCTTGATTATGGCTTGAACTCTTTGAGAAATTATTTCCCATAGCCTGTGAAACTTTTACCTGAGGAGATTTTTGGTTGCAATATTACTTAATAAAATATAATCCTAGAATAATTGTTAAATACTGTCAAGACTTTTTGTATTAAAAACAAAATCTTCGCTATTAATTCACTAAGGTAGAAAAAAAAATTGTATCTGTTACCTGGAGATTATTCTATTATCTGGGTATTTTTATAAACAAATGGTGATCTTGAGTCTATCCGTTGCCTCAGCAACCAGATATTTTTAAAAAAATTTTTCACAAGCAAAGTAGCTGACATTTGTGCTGAGCTTGATCATCTTGACGCCTTGACCTGCCTCCTTCTTCTGGTGTTAGTTCACATTTCGATGTTTTTAAACCTGTTTCAGAACAAGAGGTCAAAAAGTATTATTCTAAAATCTAAACCAACGTCATGTTCTCTCGACCCCATTCCAACTCCACTGAAGGTTGAGTCGTTGGGGATCAATTGCTCCCAACGATAACCCAAATATATAGTCAATAAAAGCGTGTCTTCTGGCATTGTGTCTTCTCTTTGTAAGACAGCTGTCATCAAACCATTACTTAACAAGCCTGGTCTTTATCAAAATAATTTAAAAGACTTTATTTAGACATGTCTCTAATTTATCATTTTTATCTAAATTCATTGAAAACTAGTTCTAAATCAGCTCTATGCTTACTTGAATTACCACTTTCTTCTCAGTCCTAATTATTCGGCCTTTTCGCAACACAGAGAAAGCTCTCTTGAGAGACAGCAGTGGCCTCTTGCTTGCATTGAACAGCCGTGATGTCTCCATCCTGATCCTCTTAGATCTCAGTGTGGCCTTTGATACCGTTAACCATCAAACCCTTTACAAAAGCCTTGAAAACTACTTTGGATTTTCTGGTTCAGTTTTGGCTTGGTTTTTGATCCGACCTCTCCGACAGAGCGCAGGCGGTCACTGTTGATGGCTATCTTTCCAGTAGTGCTGACTTGTGTGCGGAGTTCCACTGGATTTCGTGTTGGGTCCCGTCCTATTCACAATATATACCAGGCCACTTCTCCTCCTGCTCGGGAGGCATGCTGTTGAAAGCCAGTCATTCGCAGACGACATGCAACTATACAAGCACACCCATCCCTCTCTTGTCAACTCCGCTATCCTCACCTCGCAGGAGTGCATTGGTGGTGTATAGTCATGGTTTACTCTCAGCAAGTTGAAGCTGAACGATTGCAAAACGGAAGCATTCCTCATTCACAATCACGAATCATCCTCTAACTCAGCTCTCATCACCTCGTTTCAAGTACGTATATAAAAAGAGTTCACATCCTCTGCTAGGAATCTTGGTTACGTTCTTTCTGACAACCTGTCTCTCAATAATCATATTTCTCACATGTGTCGCTTTGCGTACACTGATATCAGTCAGGTCAGCTCCATCCGCCACTACCTCACAGTTAGCGCAACAAAAACCCTAGTCTGTGCTCTTGTTCTCTCTCGTCTTGTAACTATTGTAACTCTCTTTTGTCAGGTTCACGAAAATATTCATAGAAAAACTGAAGAAAGTTTAAAAACTCAGCTGCTAGGTTAATTCTAAAGACAAAGAAGCGTGATCACGTCACTCCACTACTCCACTCACTCCATTGGCTCCCTTTACAGGCACCCATTGATTAGAAGCCGTCTATTCTCTGTTACAACTTTTTCTCTAGTTCCTTCCTTTCCTATCTTACTGAACTTCTTACTATCTATTCAGCCCTTCGAAAGCTTCGTGCCTCCGCAGCGTATTCGTTCTGTTCCCAGAACACGCACTAAACCATATGGTAAATGATCTTTCTCTTTCTGTCCCGCCAAACAATGGTATTCTCTCCTATTACACATCCGCAATATACCGACTATCCCAGCCTTCAAACTCTACTATATCCTAGCCTTGGCTTCCCGTATGCTTAAGCTCCCCCCCCCCACCCCCCCCCCCCCCCC